AAAACCCAACTAGCCATCATGGTCTCTTAAATAAGGAGGATTGTTGCATAAATTTCAATGCAAAAGTAATTCCCATGCAAAAATATTTCCACTCTTCTGATTATAAGGAAAGCATTGGAATAATGGGATATATGACACAGGAAAAGCATAAAATTGCCCCTTTTAGACAATTAATTCATAGAGGTCCAAGGATTAAGGGAAAAACAATTAGTTTTATTTGTGATAAAATAAATTAAGGAAAAAAGCAGTGGAGAAATCTACATCTGGCACAGGGAATCCCTGAGACAAACAAAGAAGCAACATGCAACATTTGGAATAGCAACCACATCCCCAGCAGCAACCAAAAGACTGGGACTCTGGAAATCCTGGACATCAGAATTAATCAGTAACAGAGACAGAGCTCTCAGCCAATGTGAGAATTCACTTGTGGGGAATTTTGAATCAATTAGAGATGGGATCCCTGAGTTGTTTTTGATGATGGGATTTATTTTTCTTATCTTCTACACAGGCAGGAAGGGTGAGTTGGGCTCACATCTTCACTGCGTGGCTCAGAAGGCCACAAGACCCTAAGTTACAAGACCTTTTAAGGATTTATTGACCAATAAAACACTGCCAAAAAGGATCTTTATGGTTTTGACCTCATCCTTAAATATTTTGTCTTATGGACCCCTGCAACTTTCTTAGCCAATCCTGTTATGGCAACAAACCTACAGTGCTGCATTCTAAACTCCTTGTTACCTTTGTAACTACTTTTATTTATTCTATATCTTAAACTCTAAAACTCTAAACTTTCCTTTACTTAGCTGAATGTGTCTCTGCCTTAAACTACAAATCCACACTCTCGCTTCTAGCACCTCAGTTTGGGAGCCTTTTCCAAGGTCTCAGATCAAAACCTGGGTTTAATTCTAAGCTTTGGCTCACAGGCCCAAAGTCCTGAGAGTTTCCTGCATTTCAGGTTCCAAGAAGCCAACCTCTATGGAAGTTTGGAACCACGGAGGGGAGCCCACAGAAGCTTTATCAGGCAGCATTTATGGGCAGGGTGCACCAACCCTCACCTACTTTGGAGTTGAGAGTTGAGCTGAAGAGGACCTGGGTGCCAAGCAGGCCACTGACACTTCCAGAGGAATTCCCAGTTCATTATTGTACTCTGAACAAGGGGATGGAAAACAGGTGGAGAGAAGGGAGAAATGAAAGGGGAGGAGAAGCAACGCCCTGGTGGGAAGAGGTATGGGATTGTCAAATGCCTCCTTGCCTCCCTGCTAGACTAAGCTGACTTTTTCCACAGCAAGTGTAGGACTGAAGACAGCAAGCATTAAAATGTGGGGGAGGTTTTACAGCGACTTCTGTGAGCCAGAAAGAAGTCTGAGAAGAGGATCCATGTTTACCCCTGAAAGAATTTCCTAACAAGGTCATTGACACAGAAACTAAGGAAGAGAGAAGGATAAATAAGAGAAACCTGCAATTGTCTATTCCAATGAGCACTTTGTCTTTCCTGACCAATGAGCAAAGTGTAAACTTTGTAAGAATGTACAAAAAGCATGCGTGCTAGAATAAAAAACAGTCTGAAGCCTTCTGAAAATGGAGTGTGTTGCTTTGTGTACTGTGTATTGTGAGTGTCTCAACTATGACATTAAAATGTTACCAAAAGCAGGAAGAGTTGGAGCAAACCATGAGAGGGAATCAAGGGTGTGTTGAATAAAAGCAATCACACTAGCAAGGAAACATGCAGGGGAGGATTGTGTGTTTTACACATGGAATAGTAAAGAAGCTGACATGAACTTCAAGAAAAGATCAAAGTGCAAATAAGACCATAGAGGTCCTGCTTTATTTTTACAACTTGTTTTATGTGTCTTTTATGTGTGGAGAAAATAAATAAATAATCTTTCCTTTGAACCTTAATAAAGTCACAGCTCCCAGGAACAGAAGGGCTGATAGGCAGCAATCCCTGTTGTTTCAACAAGAGAAACAAGGGGTCTGTCCCCAGAGACCCCTCCTGTAAAATGTGGGATCATTCACCTACAAAAGCACGGGCTGCATCGACTCTGAATGGAGCACTGGCTCCCCATAAACAGGAATGTTTAATCTAGCAGATAAAAGTAGAACAAATCAGGTGTAACTGGAAAAGCAAAGCAGCAAGTTTGTTCTTCCTGAAATGAGTATGTGCTAATACAATGGAGTCTTTAATACACAAAAGCTGTAAAGTGACAGGTATCTTTCCAAGGGCAGCATTGTACTTCTGGCAGACATTGGGGTATATTTAGGAATCTATGGGCAAAATCTTGAGCACAGCCACCTTTGTGGGCTGTGAACTGAGCATCTGAGGATGAGGAACAGTCCCTTAAAGCATCTGCAGGTGTTTATAGGAAGGGTATCTTTGCTCCTAAACACACTGTAACAGTTTCACACCATGGACATGCGCTGTGGTTGTCCTGTCCTGTTCTCTGTCCAAAAAGAGCAATCTAGGATTTGATAACCTCCAAATGATTTTGCCCTCTGAGATATGAGAAGCATTTGAAAGCTCTGGATTTCTGTTGAATGTGAAACAGGTCTGCCTAAGTGTGCAGACCCTTCACATCCCCATCCCCAGCCCAAGTAAACCCAGGTACTGTTGGCAGTCAATAGTGGCAACAATGCAGCACACAATCTTGTGCATCATGCAACATGAGTTTGAACAGATCTGCTTAAAACAAGCCTGATACTAAAGGTCTGCAAGAATAGACTTCCACTCTTTAAAGTATTGATAGGGCAGAATTTATATGATTATTGTAACATAAGAATAGAATAGAATAGAATAGAATAGAATAGAATAGAATAGAATAGAATAGAATAATTATATATTATTATAATACAACACAATTATAATATATATTATTCTATACTATGTTATATATTATTGTATAATATTAGAATATATAATACTATATATTATATATAATGATAGATTATTGTACATTATATTATTATTATGATTATTAATAATAATATAATGCATAATAATAATAGATTGTGGCAAAGTTTAAAAATTTACCCAGGGACATTCTTAATAAAACACCACAGGGGAAAGTACTGCAAAAATGAAGAACAACAATAGAAAGTAAGCAGTGGTGAAACATTGACAAAAAGAAACAACCTGGGATGAAATTAGTGGAATCTGGCATTAGACATTTTCAGTGTAAAATTCCTGAAAGCTTACCCCCAGAGCCTTTTTTCCAGGCTGGACAATCCCAATTCTCTCAGCCATTGCAAGATGCCACTAATTTGGTCAGCTGCGGACAAAAATATCACTACTGGTGGAGCTCTCAGTGGTTGATCTCAATTTAGAGAAATCAAATTAAACTACAGAAGTCAGGTATGTAACAATTGCTTACCAAAACAATTTTGAAAATACTGTAATTTTGTAAATCAACCACTCTACTGAAGAACTGTAACAATGTGACCCTGGACTGGGAAAGTGTTTTTCCATAAACCAAAACAAAGGGACAAGAAGAATGAAACAAGGAGCCTCACTGGTGAAGGGATGGAGAGCCCAAAACATCACAAACAGAGTATTTCAGAAGTACAGCAACAATTTCTTTCTGATATTACTGCATATTTGTTGAATTCAGCAAGAAGCTGCTTTCAAGTATATAAAAGTATTTGTTTATTAAATTATTTTGCCCCTCTCAACAGATCTCACCTAGCATATGCTGTTTATTATAATTGATTTATGAGGTCTCATGTATCATTTTCAGTCACCTGGGCTTTGTCTGTTAGACAACTATTTAGTAAAAGAAATAATCCCATATTCCCTGATTCTGAAGAAGGACAAAACAGAACTACTAAAAAAAATTACATTCATAACTATACTCAAACATAGATATAGGCCTGAGTGTAATTTAAAAATTGATTTTGGACAAAATTTTGTGGTTTGCCAGAAATGAAAAACACTCCCAGAAAGAAAAGTGAAATTTGTCATGAGCTTAAAGAGATTTTCAGTAAAGAGCTCCAGGAATGGGGACAGATTCTATCAACTGCTTTTAAAGCAATTGAATTTTTAACCTGCAGCTAGAATGATAACTATCTAGCTTTTATGAATTATGGTGCTTCAAGAGCAATTTGATCCAAATTTTAATTCTCTAATGTATCTATTAAGTCTATTTTTCCAGTATTCATACCTGAGCATAGATCAGACTGGAGTAGATTCTACCAGACTTCCCTAGAGCCAGATTTGACTGATCTAACAATGACTAAGGAAAGACATCTACTTACAGAAAATAAGGAAATTTACCCAGAAGCTGCAGTCTGAGCACCTTTGTGCCTGAACTGACAAAATCTGACTGACTCTGTAGTTTACAGATGTCTCTGCATGAGAATTGGCTACAGAATAGGAAATACTATCAGAACTACCATGTACAAGAAGAAAGAATTATGGTTATCATGAATGTGCAAATAATTTGTCATTTTTGTAAAAGCTGTTGCACGAAAAAGGAAATATGAACATTTTCAAGACTGAACACATTCATTTCTGGATACAAAAGTCCAATTAATTAAGAAAGTGATATTATATGACCATCTGGTTAGACAAGGGATGAAAAAAAGAGATTTTTTTCACCACAAAATATGCTGGCTATGTCAGGAATGAGCTGACATAACATGGCAGGAGATAAATCAGCTGCTCCCTGAACATGTTGAGAGGGCTTAAGCCCATCATGGTCCTTAACTACCTACAGAGGAGAGAGAAATGCCAGTGCAAGCTTGTACCAGGGATTGGTTCCACTGCCACAGCTCCTGGGAGGATTCTCCTGCACATCAGAGTCATGGCTGGGTCTCAGATGTGTGAGCACAGTGGCACATGTCCCCTGGCACAGGGGACATCACCATGCTTCTGATGTGGGACAGACCCTGCATGGTGATCCCGGTGGGAATCCTGAGGGTCAACAACAAAGCTGTAAAAATCAATTTTTTTCTGAGTGAAAACCTAAAATCACATAATTCTACATGATTTTAAAGTCATCACTTACTTAGTCTTTCCATCATAGCTCTAGATTGATTCTCAGAATAATTTCCCACTTCTTTTCTGTTAATAGAGAAGTACGTTCCCTGAGCCTTGGTCACCTTCGTATACCTGCAAAAATATATGCAAGTTAAGGATGCAAATTAAACAGTTAATTCTCAGTAATCATTTGGCTGCATCTACCTTTTAATTTAGATCTAGGGAAGCTCTGTTGAGGCAAACATCTCAGCCATCCCCACTTTCCATCCTCCAGTTCACCCTGCAGTCTTGGGACTGGATCCCTTCTGTCTGAGCAGCAGGACACCCGAAGTTCTCCAACCCCAAATAAAATATTCTGCCCCCACATCACATGTGAGCCAGCCCAACACGAGCTACCAAATTGCTCTGAGTGCTGCAGGACCAGCAGCATTCACTCCTTGGCTCTCTGGAGCCTCTGGGTGAGTCTTTGCCAGACAAAGACGCTGTCTGACAACTCCTAGAATTTCTCCAAGACTTTTGGGCTTAAATGAAAGTAAGGATGGGTTTGAAAATGCCATAGATGTTGCTATTGAAAGCAAAAGTTGGCATTAAAATATCCTTAATATTTGGTTCATTTACAAAGTTCTATACTACTCTATAAAAAATACCAAGTGTAAAGAGGCTTCTTGTTCATAAGATAGATATTCTAAAGTATGTCAGTTACTTGAGCCTACCATGCCTTCAATACAGCAGATATTTCTCAAATTTTAACTTATGTACCTCATAGTTTAGGCTCACAGCAGCTATCTCCTTTTCATATAAAAAAAACTGCATAATGGTGTATTAAGCAGAATGACTGAAGCAATGCAAGCTTCCTCTGTAAGAGCACTGATCTTCAAATAATATAATATAATGTAATGTAATGTAATGAAATATAAATAATATCATAATATTATTTTAATATTTTAGCATTTGCTATTAAAATATAAATGCTGATGCCTTTAGATGTTCTATAGATAAGGATTATCACTATGTACAGCACTGCCTTTGATAGATGCAGTGCTTACAACTTTGCACCCTTTTTTAAATTTCTTTTTTACTTTTCAAACATACCAAAATGGGAACTACATTTCAGTTGTGTGCACGCTGTTATTTTATTTTGCATCACTTCACAAAAGACAGCCACAGCCACGCCTTAGAGCAGCACATCTCAGAACCTGAAATGGCTCAGAAGTGAAAAACCAGATGTGCTCAGCCTTAGGACCAGCCTGGACCTTCTGCAGCCCAGACCAGAGGACCCAAAGGAATATCTCCAGAGGGAAGAGAGAACTGTCCAAAAAAAAAAAACATGCAGAGCACTTGGGGAGTGCTTCATGCAAGCACTTGAGTCAAATATGGCTGTGTTATTGCCACGGCCATCCACATGCTGAGAGCTCTGTAGCCTTTATCATTTTAATTAATCAAAGGATGTTTTAAGGGAGGGGAAACTGTCATATTTGGATATTCGTTGCAAATAAACACAATCCATAATCAGAGTTTACTTTTTATAGATATTCAAAACGAACTGTTGGCTGAAGCTAAAATATTTACCTACCAATACCCACATAGGTTGTTAACCTTTATATTTTCCTGAATGAATCAGTAAGAAAATAAGCCTACAGTTATTTTTTTTAATTTTGAGATGACTTCAGTGTACCTGTGTGTTATGCCTGGTTTGAGTGTGCAGTGAATATTCATTCTAAGCAATTTAATTTTTGTTTCTATGTCTCTATTTTTCCCTTCAGATTACAGCAGCCAGGAAGAAGAAAAAAATATATAAAATTAATCCATTTACTGCTAGACAGAGCCTAATGTTTTCAGAAAAGACACAAACTATTTTCTGTATCAATGACCACACAGAACAACAACAGAAAAAATTAAATTTTTTAAATGTACTTTTTGGTTCAGAAAGAAAATTTAAACACTTCAGTCCTTCAAATATGCTTGATCCAGAGTATGACTGTGTTTAAATCCCTTCCTATAGAACAAATTCACTTAAAGTAAAACTTGTTCAAGGGACAGTTTTCTGGAAAAGGTAAAATACACAACCCAAAACAGGCACACAGACCACACAGAAAGATTAATCTTCAGAAATAACTATATAAATAAAGTGAAAATTCAAGTTTACAATCTTCCAATGTATTTCAGAACTGGAAACTATGAAAGTGGGATGTTCTTTGTTGTTTTAAATAAGTGCATACCATGCACAAATCTATACACACATTTGTGTGTGCATTAAAACAGAAAAAGTGAACTCCATTTCCAAATTGAAGTCTCAGTTCTTTCAGCTACATTTTCCAAGTTTAACCTTTCTGTTGTAATTGATAAGTATGATTATCAATGCCTTATTTGTTGAGCTAAAAAGGATTTATTGCTCAGATAAACATCAGCCTCAGGGGCTGTGAGATTTTAAGGGAGCAAGAACTCGGCCATAGGTCAGAGTAGTCACAGGTTTTTTCATGATAAAAAAAACCATTCTAATCCAATGGAAAGCTGACACAAAGTTTATTTTGTTTTTCTAACCTACCACCTTTAATTCTGCTGCACTGCGGATGCTTTTATCCAATGGGCTGCTATTAAATGTACACAAGTGTGCTTCTGTTGTAACATCTGAACTCTTATACAATTCCATCCCTACACTTTCAACCTTTCACCATCTTACTCATCCAGTTTCTCTCTTACTTAAGGCACATTCTTACTTACAACTATAGAAACATAAGTTTATATTTATGTCTGTGTACTTTTAATTTTACATCAACCCAAGCTTCTTTCAAGGCTGCAAATTAAACCCTCCTGTGTCTGTGGAAATTTCTCTTTTTCCATTTCCTACAATAAGCAGAATCAGGACATTGCAGGGAAATGCTAGTCAAAATTTGAAGTCAGTGCAATAATTACATTAGTGAAACAATGCCTCTTCTTGATAAAGAATCCCAGATAAGTAGTGCAGGCCTTGCTACACGAAGAGCTATGAGGTTTGGTATTAAATTCTGCAACTTCGGGGTGTTTGGAATTCACCAAAACCTCTCTGTGGAGCTATAAATACCCAGAGTAGTATAAAGTAGTAAAAATACTATCTAGTTGTATCTATCTATATTTATAGATACTACCTAGTTATAGCTATCTAAATATTCTCTAGTTATAAATAGTATCTATATAGTATAACTGCATAACTATTTTTTAATGTCATGGAAAAGCAGATACTTTGTATGGAAATCAGAGCCAAAGCACCTGATCCCAGAGCCAAAGCAGGATCCTTGTTCTCCAAACCAGGACATTCCTGTTCTCCACACCAGGATATCCCTGCTCTCCAAAGCAGGATCTCCCTGTTCTCCAAACTAGGATCCCTGCACTCCAAAGTGGGATCCCTGTTCTCCAAAGCAGGATACCCCTGCTCTCCACAGCAGGATCCCTGTTCTCCAAACCATGATATCCCTGCTCTCCAGAGCAGGATCCCTGTTCTTCTCCAGAGCAGGATCCCTGTTCTCCAAAGCAGGATATCCCTGCTCTCCACAGCAGGATCCCCATTCCCTGCAGACATGAGCTCATGTCTTGGCATTCCAGAGAAGCCCTGGCCCTTCTCACACTCCAGCCTGTGAGAGCAGGCTCGGGAGGATTACAGGGGCTGTGCTGCACAGCACTTATGACAGGAATGCTCTGGGAGCCCTGCTCTTCCTTTATCTCCCTCTTTCCTGACCACACCAAACGCTGCTCCACCTGTGCGATGGTTTAATTGTGGATGATCTAATTAGAGTCAGTCTGCACACACACAATGTTCAATTCAGCAGGATTTGGGATGAAGAGCAGGTGTGTCTGTGCTGGGGAAGTGGTTAGACAAGAATTTACTGGGGGCTGGAGGGAAGGAGGGGAATGCACAGTAAAATAAACTTTTTACCTTTTTTGTAACAGACTGAGAAATAGCTATGAACCAGACAGCAATGGGATAATGAGCAGTCATAAATCAGACATCAAGTTTGCCCCAAAATCCAATAAATAAGAATCCAATAAATTAGCAACTCTGCTCACATTTCCTCATCCACCCACCCACCTTTATTTTATTATTAAGCAATTGACCCTGTGAGGTGTTAGCTACCTCAATAATCCTTATTACGTGAGTTTTCTTCATTTTCTATAGAAAAAAATCTCAAGAGAAAAACATTTTGAAAACACACATGTTGAGATTTCTTGTTGCAACATACAAGTCTGATAGAAGACATTTTTATAACTGGATATATTTTCAATAGATTTAGAAAAAAAATTAATTGAAATACAGTGATTGAACGTGAGCATGCACATGATGTTTTAAACAAAAGCTATTCAAACCCTATTCCTACTGAAGTCAATAGCAGGGTTCTATTGTGAGCCATAAATAAGTCCAAAAACGTTGTGCTGATGTTTGTGTAAAATACATTTGATTCAATTTGGGATTCTTGTTCATAATGTGAAGTATTTTGCAGCATATTACAATGTTCCTATCATAAATACCTCATAAATAAGAGATTACAATCCTAAACCAAAACAAAATCATAAATGTTTTTTGATGGTGGGTTTTTCTTGTTGATTACTTCAAGTCTTCTGAAGACTAAATGTTCACAGAAACTAAATGTTCACAGAAACAAAAAAAAGCAAACAAAAGTTTCCTACCTGCTGAAGTTACCTGCTGGCAGGTAATCTCCTTGTACAGTTTTGAGAATAGAAGTCTTCCCCTGACGAAAAAAAAAAAAAAAAAAAAAAAAAAAAAAAAAAAAAAAAAAAATTTTTTAAAAAAAAAAAAAAAAAAAAAAAAATTTGATAGAGAGTGTTAAATTTTTTGTAAGAATATTCACTCCACACTCAAACCAGGCATAACACACAGGTACACTGAGATAATCTCGAAATTAAAAAAATAACTGTAGGCTTTTTTTCTTACTGATTCATTCAGGAAAACATAAAGGTTAAAAATCTAGGTGTGTATTGGTGGGTAAATATTTTAGCTTCAGCCAACATTTCATTCTGAATATCTATAAAGGTTGAACTCAATTATGGATTTTGTTTATTTGCAACAAATATCCAAATATGAGAGTACAAGTCTAATTTCCAGTCTATGTTGCTACGTAGCTGC